CAGCGCGTGTCAGTATATGAGTACAGTGCGTGTCAGTATATGAGTACAGTGTGTCAGTATATGAGTACAGTGTGTCAGTATATGAGTACAGTGTGTCAGTATATGAGTACAGCGCGTGTCAGTATATGAGTACTGTGTGTCAGTATATGAGTACAGTGTGTCAGTATATGAGTACAGTGTGTCAGTATATGAGTACAGCGCGTGTCAGTATATGAGTACAGTGGGTCAGTATATGAGTACAGCGCGTGTCAGTATATGAGTACAGCGCGTGTCAGTATATGAGTACACTGTGTCAGTATATGAGTACAGTGCGTGTCTATATGAGTACAGTGTGGCAGTATATGAGTACAGTGTGTCAGTATATGAGTACAGTGTGTCAGTATATGAGTACAGTGCGTGTCAGTATATGAGTACAGCGCATGTCAGTATATGAATACCGTGTGTCAGTATATGAGTACAGCGCGTGTCAGTATATGAGTACAGTGTGTCAGTAATGACTACAGTGTGTCAGTATATGAGTACAGTGCGTGTCAGTATATGAGTACAGTGTGTCAGTATATGAGTACAGCGCGTGTCAGTATATGAGTACAGTGTGTCAGTATATGAGTACAGTGTGTCAGTATATGAGTACAGCGTGTGTCAGTATATGAGTACAGCGCGTGTCAGTATATGAGTACAGTGCGTGTCAGTGTATGAGTACAGTGTGTCAGTATATGAGTACAGTGTGTCAGCATATGAGTACAGTGTGTGTCAGTATATGAGTACAGTGTGTCAGTATATGAGTACAGCGCATGTCAGTATATGAGTACAGTGTGTCAGTATATGAGTACAGCACGTGTCAGTATATGAGTACAGTGTGTCAGTATATGAGTACAGTGTGTCAGTATATGAGTACAGTGTGTGTCAGTATATGAGTACAGTGTGTCAGTATATGAGTACAGCGCGTGTCAGTACATGAGTACAGCGCGTGTCAGTATATGAGTACAGTGTGTCAGTATATGAGTACAGTGTGTCAATACATGAGTACAGTGTGTCAGTATATGAGTACAGTGTGTCAGTATATGAGTACAGCGCGTGTCAGTATATGAGTACAGTGCGTGTAAGTATATGAGTACAGTGTGTCAGTATATGAGTACAGCGTGTGTCAGTATATGAGTACAGTGTGTCAGTATATGAGTACAGCGCGTGTCAGTATATGAGTACAGCGCGTGTCAGTATATGAGTACAGCGCGTGTCAGTATATGAGTGCAGCGCGTGTCAGTATATGAGTACAGCGCGTGTCAGTATATGAGTACAGCGCGTGTCAGTATATGAGTACAGTGTGTCAGTATATGAGTACAGCGCGTGTCACTATATGAGTACAGCGCGTGTCAGTATATGAGTACAGTGCGTGTCAGTATATGAGTACAGCGCGTGTCAGTATATGAGTACAGTGTGTCAGTATATGAGTACAGTGTGTCAGTTTATGAGTACAGTGTGTCAGTATATGAGTACAGTGTGTGTCAGTATATGAGTACAGTGTGTCAGTATATGAGTACAGTGTGTCAGTATATGAGTACAGTGTGTCAGTATATGAGTACAGCGCGTGTCAGTATATGAGTACAGCGCGTGTCAGTATATGAGTACAGTGTGTCAGTATATGAGTCCAGCGCGTGTCAGTATATGAGTCCAGCGCGTGTCAGTATATGAGTACAGTGTGTCAGTATATGAGTACAGTGTGTCAGTATATGAGTACAGTGTGTGTCAGTATATGAGTACAGTGTGTCAGTATATGAGTACAGCGCGTGTCAGTATATGAGTACAGTGTGTCAATATATGAGTACAGTGTGTGTCAGTATATGAGTACATTGTGTCAGTATATGAGTATAGCGCGTATCAGTATATGAGTACAGTGTGTCAGTATATGAGTACAGTGTGTCAGTATATGAGTGCATCGCGTGTCAGTATATGAGTACAGTGTGTCAGTATATGAGTACAGTGTGTGTCAGTATATGAGTACAGTGTGTCAGTATATGAGTACAGTGTGTCAGTATATGAGTACAGTGCGTGTCAGTATATGAGTACAGTGTGTCAGTATATGAGTACAGTGTGTCAGTATATGAGTACAGCGCGTGTCAGTATATGAGTACAGTGTGTCAGTATATGAGTACAGCGCGTGTCAGTATATGAGTACATTGTGTCAGTATATGAGTACAGTGTGTCAGTATATGAGTACAGTGTGTCAGTATATGAGTACAGTGTGTCAGTATATGAATGCAGTGTGTCAGTATATGAGTACAGTGTGTGTCAGTATATGAGTACAGTGTGTCAGTATATGAGTACAGTGTGTCAGTATATGAGTATAGTGCGTGTCAGTATATGAGTACAGTGTGTCAGTATATGAGTACAGCGTGTCAGTATATGAGTACAGTGTGTCAGTATATGAGTACAGTGCGTGTCAGTATATGAGTACAGTGCGTGTCAGTATATGAGTACAGTGTGTCAGTATATGAGTACAGTGTGTCAGTATATGAGTACAGCACGTGACAGTATATGAGTACAGTGCGTGGCAGTGTATGAGTACAGTGTGTCAGTATATGACCACAGCACGTGGCAGTATATGAGTACAGTGCGTGGCAGTGTATGAGTACGGCGCATCTTGATCAAGGTCACCCCTGTCATCCCATCTCTCCAGATCTCACCGTTCCCTCTTTTTTCCTAGTTCCATTTTCACACATATATGTTGAATATTATGCCTGCATTTGCACCTTCTTCCTCTCTCCATTCATCTGCCTCCCCCAACCCATCCCTCCAGCTGGCAATTCATGTTTCAACTTTCCTAAGTATATACTATACCTCAGTCAGTTTGTGTATATCTACATATGATTCTCTGTGTGTTCCCAGATATAGTTATAATTTAGATTATAATCATATGAGAGAAAACATGCACCATTTGTCTCTCACTTAACATATTTTTTTTGTTGTCAGTCCTGGGGCTTGAACTCAGCCCTGGGTGCTGTCCCTGAGCTGCTTTTGCTCAAGGCGAGCGCTCTACCACTTGAGCCATGTCCGGCTTTTTCTTTTTATGTGGTGCTGGGGAATCGAACCCAGGGCCTCATGCATGTGAGGCAAGCACTCTACCACTGAGCCACCTTCCCAGCCCCTTACCATAATTTTTTTTCATATCCATCCATTTCCCTGCAAGTGACACTTTATTATTTCTGATGCATGAATAAAATAACATTGTGCCTGTGTGTATAACTGATATGTAATATGTCATAAACACACAGTGTACACACACGCACACACATATATCTCACATTCTCTTGGTCCACTCATTCACTGAAGGATGTTTCATCCTTCAGTTTCCATAACACATCCTGCCATCCCCCTCTGAGTGGCTGTAACCAAGACTCTAGGACCACCCAGAACACACCTCCTACCTGAGCTTGGAGGATGCTGTTACCTGCATATATGAACCAACATCCCTTTCCTCCACCATTAGTCTGTTCTTTCTACCTCTGGTTTCATGCGCTGCTCTCCAGCTTGAGAATGACATTTAAAGTCTCTATATGATGGAGCTTCCCCTCCCCTCCCTTCCCCCTCACAATGATTTCCGTGAGAGAATCCCTTTAGCTTCCCTCTTCCCTTCAGTTCAGTCAAGCCATCTTTTTCTGACCAGTTAGCTAATGGTTAGTGGTCCTTGATTCAGAGTTTCACTCCAGTCTAGTCAGCTTCTCCAATGGTCGGGAAAGGTTGGGATTCTAAAGAAAGACAGCGTAATTCACAATGGCTTAATTGTTGCGTGCCATTGCTTTTCCTAAGGGAGACAGAAAGCACAAGGTGAAGACCACTTGCTTCTAGAGGTGTGCTGTCTCTACGTATGGCTGGCTTCACATATGGCTGGCCTGCTGGAAACGTGGCTGGCTTTAGATCATTGTATAAATTCCTTCCATGCAGGTAGATGACCCTGAGGAAAGTTAACTCCCTGGATTTTGATTCATAATGAATAACAGAAAAGCCAGATATTCTCTTTGAAAATATTGATCATCACACAGGGGGTGGGGATGGGGCTCTAGTAAGAATTCAACCCAATAGATAACTATAATATAATAAGAATAAGAAAAAAGCTGGATCCCAAGTTCCAAAGTACAGCCTGTGGACATGTCGGTACCCCAAAACCCTCCACATGGAAAAAGCAAAGAACTCAATCTTAACTGAATCTCTTATCCCACGTGGAAATTAGGGACCCAACAGAGAAGGAGACAAAATCAAAATGGAATGTATGCATTTTCCATAGAAATCCTTGGTTAGCCAAACTCCAAAGACCTCAAGTAACAATTGGAAAGGGTTTAAAAGCATTGTTATTGGATATGGTGCTGCTAGTTGATAATGTATTCTATACATGCTGAGAGAATCAATTTTAAGAGTGTACCACACACACAAAATATAAGTATGTATAGTGGTTCCTACGTTAATGCCATTCCTTGACATATACATGTTTAATATTATTATTATTGGTGGTGGTGCTGGTTGTTGTCATGGGATATGAACTCAGAGCCTGGGCACTGCCCCTGAGTTCTTTTGATCAAGGCTAGCTCTCTACCACTTGGAGCCACAGCGCCACTTCTGGTTTTCTGGTGGTTCATTGGAGATAAGAGTCTCACAGACTTTCCTTTCCCAGGCTGGCTTTGAACCACGATCTTCATATCTCAGCCTTTTGAATAGCTAGGAATGCAAGGCGTGAGCCACCAGCACCTGGCATATACATGCTTTAAAAGACCTATTGTACACGATAAACATACAAAAAAGTCAATTAAAATATTTAAATGAAATGAAAGTATCATGGTGTTTCATTTTATGGATAAAGCTGGGTCTGTAGTATATCGGAAGAGCATCTTTCTCTTTCAAGTACATTCGTGCATGCTGTAAGAGGAGATTAGTATTCAGGCATGCTGTGGGGAAGAGGAACCCACACAGCTGTTTCGTCATTGGCATCCCTTGGGCTTTATGTGTTTCAGAATCACCACGACAGCAGCGTGTATGATGGACCTCCGGAGGTACCCGCTGGACGAGCAGAACTGCACCCTGGAGATTGAAAGCTGTGTGTATCTGTGTCTGGGTTTCTTTCTCTTCCCCTCTATGCTTTAAGGTCTTTTGGTTATGAGTTCGCTTTGGTTTTTTCCCAAGGCATTCAGGTTCTTGACATACATTTCAATTCTCTTTTAAAAAAAAAATGAGGCCGGGACCTGGGGAGAAAAGGTTGTGGGACCTCCTTCTCCATCCATAGCCTTGCTCTGTGGTGTGTACTTGTAATTCCAGCAACCATGAGAGGCCTAAAGTAGGCACACCACAGTGCAGGTGCACTCCCCGGTGGAAAATTAAGACTCTGTCTCATAAAAATAACTGGCAGAGGATTGGGAAGGTGGCTCAGTGGTAGAGTGCTTGCCTTGCATGCATGAGGCCTTGGGTTCGATTCCTCAGCACCACATAAGCAGAAAAAGCTGGAAGCAGCTCAAGAACACTAGTCTTGAGCTGAAGAGCTGAGGGACAGCACCCAGGCCCAGAGTTCAGGTCCCACGACCATGGGAAAAAAATAAGTGGCAGAAAACCAGGCTTGGAGGCATGGCTTGAGTAGTAGCGCCACTGTCTAGTGATTTCAAGGTCCTGAGTTTCAACCTCAGCACTGTTCTCCCAAAAGAAATTTAACTTGATAATAGATGAATCTGTTTGTTTGCAGTTTTAAACTATAAAGTAATCAGCTGAACACTGGGCTGTCCTACCTGCTCATATGAAATAAAGATTCCCATAGAACAAATATAATTTTCTTGCTTAGCATTCATTTGTTTTGTTGTTGTTATACTTTTGTTGGTTCTGGGGCTTGAACTCAGAACCTAGGCACTGTCCCTGAGCCTCTTTGTGCTCAAGGCTAGTGCTCTACCACTTGAGCCACAGCACCACTTCCTGCTTTTCCTGAATAGTTTTTATTGGAGATAAAAACTATTGGAGTCTCGCTGACTTTGCCACTTGGGCTGGCTTCGAACCACAATCCTTAGATTTCAGCTTCCTGAGCTAGGATTACAGGAGTGAACTGCCAGTGCCTGACTTGCTTAGAATTTAGAAGAAAATAAAAATGTTGTCTTAAAAGAATAACCCCTGTTTTCATTGTATTTGATGTTGGTATAATTTGGGGAGGGAAAGGGAAAAAACAAATTGCTTAAATAGGGATACAGGTGGACCCATTGCAACAATGAAATGTACAAGATGCTGTTGAAAAACGAACTTTAACCTTTGGCAGGGGGTGGGGGAGATGGGAGGGCAGGGATGGTAGGAGAAACAAAGGAGGAGGCAACAACGCTTGATAAGAAATGTACTGATTACCTTGCTCATGTAATTGTAACCCTTCTGTATGGTATTTTCACAATAAAAAACTTATTAATAATTAAAAAAAAACAATTAGACCAGGGTTGTAGGTCAGTGGTAGAGTACTTGCCTAGCATGCATAAAACCCTGTGTTTGATTTCCCAGTAGGTTTAACTAAACTCTAGGAGTTAGCTTGTCAACAGAGGGAGGAAGATAGAGATAGAAACATACACATATGTACAGGAGCGTGCGCGCATGTGTGTGCGCACACACACACACACACACACACACACAGAGATGGGGAGATACAGAGAAATAGAGAGATAATGACAGACAGACTCTACAAAAGACTCCTTTATTCTAATCTGATTATGGGAGTCTGTTTGCTGTGCTACAATATAGGAAAACAAATGCTCCCTGTCTCAGTCCATTCAGCAAGACAAGAGCAAACACTGTGATGCAATTTTCTTACAATATGCTTCATCACGCATGAGTGGCTGAACCGCTGAGACCTCTAGCAGTCCAAGCAGAACTCATTTCCCATCAGGATCTCCAACTTAGAAGGGAGCCGTTTCTGCATCTCGGCAATTTGCTTCCATTTATGGGGTGGTTCAGATGCAGGATTGGTTTTTGGGTTGTTTTTCTTTTTTTCATGTGTGCCAGCGTTACAGCTTTAAACTCAAGGTTTTGAACACTGTCTCTTCACTTTTACTTGAGCCACAGCTCCACTTCTAGGTTTGGAGTGCTTAAGTTAGAGAGAAGAGTCTCACTGACTTATCTTCCCCAGGCTGGCTTTGAAATGCAATCTTCAGGTTTCAGCCTCCTGATTTGCTAGGAATACAGGCATGAGCCACCAATAGCAGCTCAGCTGCTTTATTGGTAATTTAGTGCCGAGCTGAATCTGTAGTGTCTAACAAATAGGCATCCTTCCTGTCCCCCCTGACCTGTTATAGCGTGATTCACTATTGATCTCTTAGAGGAAAAGTTGTAAATGATCCCACTGAACCTTGGGGTGGTTCAATGACTGTAACATGGCAGTGTCGCTGGAAGTAGTTGAGGCGAAGAGGGAAGGTGTATGTGAAAGTATGGAGAGATGGCCCCTTGGGAAGCTGGTCTCCAGGTCGTGAAGGCGCTCAGCCACTGCATACCTGCCATGCTTTCTGAGAGTCTTGCTCTCGAGAGAATGAGGAATTGAAATCATGTCGAGTGATGCATAATTGAATCATCTGGGGACATTTACCAAAGAGAACAGCAGGCTCAGGGGAGAGATGATGGCTCCCAGCAGTTGAAGAGTTATCTTGGGAAGTTAAATAGATTCTGCGTGGCCAGAAGGCATGAGTCCAATGAGACGATGAAGGTATGGGAAAGGCAAACACGGGGTCTAAGTAAGGAAGCAGCTCCTCTTGGGACTGCCCGGACAGATAGTGATATCTGACCATACAGCATCCTTTGCTATGATGCAGAGTACGACATGCAGAAAGATCTGCCAGAGCAGAGACCCCTTCCCCTCAATGTGCAAGGCCCCAACCCCGAAGGTGGCTCAGTGGTAGAGCGCTTGCCTTGCATGCATGAGGCCCTGGGTTCGATTCCTCAGCAGCACATAAGCCGCAAAAGCTGGAAGTGGTGCTGTAGATCAAGTGGTAGAGCGCTAGCCTTGAGCTGAAGAGCTGAGGGACAGCGCCCAGGACCAGAGTTCAGGCCCCACAGCTGACAACAACAACAAAAAAAAAGCTTTTGAGATGAAAGTCCAATTCTTGGGTGGCCTGGCTATTACTCATATCTCCATTGGGGATGGAGAAGCAAAGTATGTAGCTTTTTTGTCCTTCTTTCCAGGACAAATTCATTGATCCATGGATTTATCCAACAAATATGTAGAGAATCTTGAACTCCTTGCAAGCACTGGGTCTTTTTTTTTTTTTTTTTGGTTGTTGTTTTGTTTTTCAGTTGTGTTTTCATTCATTTTTAGTGCCTGGGCCCAGAGATTTGCACATGCTAAACAAGATCTCTGCTATTGGGCTCTACCCACAGCTCCTAGGCAGACACTGTGCTAGCAGAATTGTATATAAAGGAGACATAGTCTTTCTAAAGAATTGTACTATTTGTGCTCTCCATAGATTCTCTTATACTACAATTAATTCATTTGTAACTGCTTGGGTGCCACCCAGTGTGCTGACTTCTAGATTCATCTAAGTCAAAGCCCAACATAATGAGCACTGAGAAATGAGTATTTGCGAGGGGTGAGGGGTGGGTTAAGAAGAGAACCATAGAAGAAGGAATGGGAGAAATGAGTGGAATGCAGGCAAGCATGTGTTGTCTATGCTACAGCACTGAGAAAAATAAGGGAAGGGGCAGATGGAAGGGGGGTGAAGATGTGGAAGGGAGGCACAGACCAAGGTGCATTTTATACATAAATTGCTTTGTGAAATGCCAAAAAAATTCAATACGTAACCTGAACATTAAGAGAAGTGAGGGAAGGGGTAGGATGGGAGGGGCAGGTAAGAGGGTTGAAAGGGGTGACATTGATCAAGAGGCATAAACTGCTCTGTTAAATGGCAACTCCTCTGTACAACGACTTGAAGAAAATAATTGAATACATATGTATATATATTTATATATAATGCTTACATTCACAGAGTTTCTTTTCTAGAAAAGGCAGGAAACGAATAGAAGTTTCGAAAGAACTACAGTTTGCTACAAGGGCTGGGGGTGTTTATAAGTTTTACCAGAAAGATTGAAGTGCACTAGTGTACATACAAACCTCAAGAAGGAAGAGCCACGCACAGTAGATGTTCAGAGGACATAGAGACCTAGCCAGAACAGAAGGAGACCGGTGGGGCAGGGCTGGTAAGTGAGAGGTGAGAAGAGGTACCCAGGACCCAGGACCCTAGGTCCATAAGTTCCTCATGAGGAGCTCAGATTTAGGTTGTTATTTTTTTGTTAATCAGCTGTACTGGGAAGCAGTTGAGAACTCAAAGCATAGAGCAGTAGCACGGCCAGGTGTTTGTTTTATTAAAGATGGTTGTAACAAAGCACTGGTGCCTCATAGTTGTAATCCTAGTTATCCAGGAAGCTGAAATCTGAGGATTGCACGCTTGAACTATAATAGATAGTTCATGATGACGTTTATCTCCAATGAAGCAGGAAAAAAAAAAATTCCTGGAAGCAGACCTGTAGCTCATATAGTACCGTGCCAGCCTTCTAGTGGAAAACTCAAGCAAGAACAGGCCTTGAGTTCAAGCCCTAGTACTGGCACACACACACACACACACACACACACACATTTGCACAAAGATGACAGCAGACTTCCATAAAGAGCTAGCCTTAGTTGTGGAGACAGATACAGATGTCCCCTACATCTCTGGTTCATTTGTCTACCTTTCAATTGGATACATTCATATCCCAAAATCTATTAGATTGTATGGTATTTTTTCCTCACATGCATTTTGATTTTTTAATTGAGCTTGCTGTAAAAAGCTAATCTCACCCCTTTGGGAGACTCCTGGGTGTAAAAAATAAAGTTGAGCCGGGTGCTGGTGGCTCACACCTGTAATCCTAGCTACTCAGGTGGCTGAGATCTGGTTCGAAGCCAACCCTGGTAGGAAAGTCTATCTGCAATGAACCACCAGAAAAACCAGAAGTAGAGCTGTGGCTCAAAGTGGTAGAGCACTAGCCTCAAGCAAAAGAGCTCAGAGACAGTGCCCAGAGTCTGAGTTCAAGCCTTACGACTCACACACACACACACACACACACACACACACACACACACACACAATGGGACGTCTCTGGTGAGCAGACCTCACGGCTAGAGAGAGTAGATGAAGCACCCACACACACAAAGGAGAGCACTGGTTTTGCTTGGAGAGTTTATGTCATCAATCACTGTCTAGGTAACTCAGCTCCCAGCTCCTGTTGAGCCTCTGCCTTTTCTTATCCTTTCTACTTGAGTTCTCATCTTTTCTTACCATTGTCTTATTCATTCCCGTCAAGATATCTCCTTTATATAATGTCTGGGCCAGCCGTAGGGCTGTTCTCTACAGATGCAAGTCTAGCCAGACCCCCTCTGTCCCATCTTAGCCTAGTGGCTGTCCCTTTTAAGACCAAATTGGTACCAACCAAACCACACAGTGAACACAAAAGAAAACACTTGAAAATTCATTCTTGGGTGGCACTTGTTACAGACAAGCCCACTAAACCAATCTTCAAATATGACTGAGCTGCTGCTTCCATTCCATGAGTTTCTTCTTCTGTGGATGTGGTACTGAGGAATCGAACCTAGGGCTTCATGCATGCTAGGCAAGCACTCTAACCACTGAGCCACATCCGCAGCCCTTGGTGAGTTTCTTTGGCTGTGTGGTTTCTACGAAATGATGACTGTCTCACGTCTGCCACGTTCCTTCCTTTTCTTTCCTGGTAGATGGCTACACCACAGATGACATTGAATTTTACTGGCGTGGCGGGGACAAGGCTGTCACGGGTGTGGAAAGGATCGAGCTCCCCCAGTTCTCCATCGTGGAGCACCGCCTGGTCTCGAGGAATGTTGTCTTCGCCACTGGTGAGTTTTGGTCCCTTCAGGACCATGGTCACATTGGAATGACGCGTTCTGAGTGAAATACATGGCCACTGCCTTATGGGAGCACCGCCATCTTCCATTCACCTCTGCACCAAACCCTTGTGTCCATCTCTAAAAGGGATCAATACCTCTTGATGGAGAATTCAGCCTAAGAAGGAGATGCTCTCTGGGGCTTGTTATGGAAAGGGTCAAAGAACAGAGGTCAATGTAGCCAGACAGTATTTGATTCCCCCTCCCTACCCCTCTGTCCCCTTCCCCTCACATCTAGACAAGAGGCTGACAATGACCATAGACACAAGGAGGAAGGGAAAGGGGAGGCTTTCTAACAACCCTGGGCGTGATCACAGGCAGCCTTAGTAGCCAGGATAGTAGCTTCTCATAGTCTTGCCTCTAGAAATTTTTCTCCTGATAGAGTCTCCACTTAAGGCTGTCCTAGCTTGGTCTTCATTGTGTATTTTTTTGTTTGTTTCACCTATCCAAAGATGGAAGCAATACCTTCTGTCTGTACTTCCTGAGGTGTTAATTGAATTACTACTGCATAAAAATGTATGACTCATGATGCTTTTTCCCTGGCTCTGCCTTCTTACTGAAGGCTGAGCGTGGCAGTGTGTGTGTGTGTGTGTGGGGGGGTACACTTGAGATGATCAAGGAAAGTGCTTAGTAGGGCTGAGTTCACAAACTCAGGGTTGATATGGTACAGGAAGTCCAGAGCTGGCCCTATGCTCAGACCACAACCAGAAGGTAGAGATCAGCGTGAAGTTAGTATGTCCTCACAAAAGCTGTGGATTGAATCCTTCCAACCTGCAGCCACCAGCTGCTGCTTTGCCTGGCACCTGCTCTGGTTCATTTCACCCCAGTGCCTTTTATTCTAGTGAAGGTGTTTTTGTTCATAGCAACTTACCGTACCTGGGATTTCAATAATACCCGTCCCTTTGGAGGGCCCTGCTCTGCTCACTCCTTACCACTCTCTGCCCCACCTTGCTTTATGCTGGAGATTGCTCTACTGATTGATCTCCCTTCCCACTCCTCCCGCTCTGACAATAGCCAACTTCAGGATCCTCAGATCTCAGCCACCTGGGTAGCTAGGATTCCCGGCGTGAGCTACTGACACCCACCTGGGGCTAGCTATCTTCTGTCGGTGGGTCTCTTTGAGTCCCATTTGGTGTCAGCTCAACTGTCATGTATTCTGACTCTGATTTACATATATCAGCTATTCAAGAGATGCGTTGGGGGGTGTCAGTGTATTTGTACTTGGGATTCTCACAAATACCAAAACCTCAAATATAGGTTCTGTTGGGATGGTAACTGAGAAGGAAGAGAATAGAGTGTTTGTATAAGGTCTGTCCTCTAAATCTGCTGGATCTTTTGGGATATCTGGAACTAATATCAACGTTACTACTTGATCCAGAGTTGTATATTATTTCTGTGTGTGTCAGTACTGGGGCTTGAACTCATGGTCCGGGGGCTGCCCCTCACTCAAGGCTAGTGCTCTATTACTTGAGCCACAGCTCCATTTCCAGTTTGGGGGTTGGTTAATTGGCAATAAGATGTCTCACAGACTTCCCTACCTGGGCTGGCTTTGAGCCATGATCCTCACCTCTCAGCCTCTTGAGGAACTAGGATTATAGATGTGAGCTACCAGTGCCCAGCCAGAGCTATACTTTTAATGAAAGTGTCTATAAAGTAAATTCTCAGAGTATTCATTGGGAGCTACAGCTGGAGGGTTAGTACAAACCTGGAAACATGCACGGATAGGCTTTCTAAGAATGAACAGGAAGAAGAAATTGAAAAAAAAAAGGATAAAAGGAAACAGAGAAAGAATAAATTCCCTTAATCCTACACCTTGCCAGCCCTCAGATCTGAGACTCCATGCTATATGTTCACTGTCATCTACATCTAAAATAGGCTAGATATTTGAAATTCTTTGCATCACAACTTGAAAAGTATTAACCTGGAGAATGCTGGGGGAATTTGGTTTACTGAACTGCACTTTTGAGCACGGCGAGTTAAACATCCAGCGCTCAGTTGGTTTTCTCTCAGAAAAATAAATAAGGCAACTATCACAGCATAATTTTCTGAGGAGTGAAATTAAAAGTAACGATTCAAACAGGAATGAAAGCATAGGATTTTTTTTTACATATCTGATTTCTAATGAAACAAATTAATCTACATGTTAATTGGGATGTGTCAAAAAAAAAAAAACACAACCATTCGCTTAAATGTCCTGAAAGCAAACTGATTGCAATTCATCAAGAATATGTGACAATTTTAAGTAAATTGTCAAATCTCAGTTGGTAGACTGTCTAATAGACTCTAATTAGTTAAGCAACGCACTTAATTCTAGGAATAATTGGAATTTTTCTCCCACTGGGGAAGTACTGTACCACTTGAACCATGCCCTGACCGTTATTTGTTGTAGTTTATTTTTCAGAAAGGGCTTTACCTTGATTATCTTACCTTTACCTCTTATTGCTAAGAGATGTGGGCCACCACACCAGCTTGGGTTTTGTGTGTGTGCATTTGTGTGAGGGCTGGGTATATGTGTATATCAGTCCTGGTACTTGAACTCAGGGCCTGAACGCTATCCCTGAGCTTTTCTGCTTAAGGCAAGCACTCTACTGCTTGAGCCACATTTCACTGTTGGCTTTTTTAGTGCTTAATTAGAGATGAGTCTCATGGACTTTCCTGCCTGGGCTAGCTATGAACCTTGATCCTCAGATCTCAGCCTCCTGAGTAGCTAGGCGTGAGCCACAGACGTCTAGCTCCATACAAAAGATGTTATAACTTTAATAACAATCTGTATAGCTTTTATTTATGTTCACATACAGGAAAATGTTAGAAATATAAATGTACATCTAAGTAATCGGTAAGCAAACAATTGTCCAACCACCCCCAAACAGCCTCTAATCTCTATCTTATTACTTCTTAGCTAATGATGTTGCCTAGTTTTTAACCTTTTCTATAGGATGAGAGTTTGGAATTGTTTGGTGATTCTTTAGCTCAGTCTTATACTGTGTCTCTATGGTTTGCCTATTTTCCTTCCTGTAATATGTATATAAACCCACAATGCTTTACCCACTCTGTTCATTTGCACAAGTATCAGCAATATTGCTATGAACATTCTTGTACCTGTCTTTCTGTGAATACATGCATGCATACGTGTTATTGCTCTACCTAGAAGTGCAATGATAGTTGAAACTTAACTGGATGTGTCAGACTGCTTTCTAGAAGGTTCATTCTCAGTTACATGGACTCAGTAACGATCGAGTGTTCTGTCTGCCTCACATCCCAGCCAATGCTGGAGGGGGAAGTGTTCTGCTGGGTGCTGGGTGTGAGGTGCCTCTTACAGTCTTCACTTCCATTTCTCTGGTTCCAAGTCAGGTTGAGACCTTACCTGATGGTCTATTTGGTGATCTTCTTTGGTGATCTGTTGATATAAATCACGATGTATTTTCTGTTATTCTTACTTATCTATTGATACTTTATATATTATAGACACAAGATTGTTGTTCGTTTGGGGTGTTTATTTTTAGGCTTTTGTTTTGTTTTGTTTTTGGTGCAGGTCCTTGGGCTTGAACTCTGGCCCTAGGTACTGTCCCTGAGCTTTCTTTGCTCAAGGCTAGCACTCTACTATTTGAGTCGCAGCTCCATTTCCAAGGCTTTTGTGGTAGTTTAGCGGAGATAAGAGTCTCACAATGTGGGATGCCGGTGACTCATGCCTATAATAATCTTAGCTACGCAGGAGGTTGAGATCTGAGGATTGCAGTTCAAAGCCAACCCCAGCAGGAAAGTCTGTGAGACTTTTATCTCCAATAAACCACTAGAAAACCGAAAGTTCAAGCCTCACGACTAACCAAAAAAAAAAAAAAAAAAAGGGGGGGGTGGTCTCACAGACTTTCCTACCTGGTCTGGCTTTGAATTGCAGTATTCAGATCTCAACCTCCTGAGTAACTAGGATTATAGGTGTGAGCCATCACTGGCCAACCCAGATGCAACCTGTGTATGTGATCCACAAGTATGCCTTTTTCATAATTATAGATCTGGATCAATAGTCCCCCTCATTTTTATTTAATTTTTGTGAATGGAGTGTGCTATGAGCCAGTGGTCATTTTCCTTCTCTTATTACCCTACAGGAACACATTTGTTATAAGTTGTGGATGTATCCAATGGGTCTGAATTTGAATTTGATGTTCTGCTCCATTGTTTTATGTATTCATTGTGGTAAATCACAGTACTCACTGCTGCATAATCTCCTTTAAGTAGAACAGATCCTTCGTGCTCTCTGCGTTTTATTCTATGTATTCCTGGCCCTTTTCTTTATTTCCCTATAAATTTTATAATCGGATCATTAATTTTCATTTAAAAGTGGCTCGGCTTTGTATTTATGACTGCATTAATTAATTCAGTGGAAAGTGACATCATGATTCTGCCAATTTCTGTGTCTCTTATCTCTCCATTGGCTTAAGTCTTTAATTCACTTCAGTGCCTTATCTAGGTACCTCTGGCACATCTTTGTAAGATTTTTTTCCCCCAGATGTTTGATATTTTCTGATGCTAAAATATTTTAAACATCATTTCCCATTTGCTGGGTACTGATATGAAAATAGTGATTATTTTTACATTGAAGAGCCTTGATAAAATTGAGATGGGACTCTCACTTTTGATCATTCTGACTTATTTTCTATTGCCACTATGCATATGATTTATGTATACTTTAGATCCCACACAATACTATTGTTACTAAAGGAAGATAAGTGTAGATAGAATTACATGGTTCTTCATTCTTTTCTCTACCTCCAAGCCTTTCTTGAGGCAGATACCAGTGGTCCGTGTCTGTGATTCTAGATACTTATCAGTCTGAGATCTGGAGGATCAAATTTTGAGACTCGTCCAGGCAGAAAAGTCCATAAAGATTCCACCTCCAAAATAACAAGAAAAAAAATCCAGGCTGGATATCTAGCTCAAGTAGTAGAGGAGGAGAA